TGTGATTTGGCTTTATAGTGGCATAATATGTAGAAGCCACTAAAATCTCGTAAAACAATACCAAAACAATTAGTATACAACAGAAAACAAACAAAATGGATAATTATAAACACTATCTACATATTTATTTCTATCATAAAACCTTTTGACTATGATACGATAATCGTGATCCTAATTTTGTCAAATTCGTGCTTTTATAAATATGCCATTATTAAATCTAAAATATCATAATTTTAAGTGTTTATTATTGTTAAATGCTTTTTTTGATACAATTTATTAAAAAACATTTATTATACTTCTTAAATAGAGACAAAAAAATGTTATTTTTAAAAACCGGCAATGCAGATGACGCATGCGCCTCAATGCCTGCTCCCGTGTGAGGACACTTCCCCTACTTTAACCCCACTATGATGGAAACAGTCTCAGTTAGAAATGATTTATATATGTATATGGGGAATAAGCACTGATGCGACATCTCTGTATTTATTATCTAACTTTTAGACTAATTCAACCTCACTTCATACATAACTCACTTTCTCCCAATTAAATTATTTTTCTATGGCATTTATTAGAAACGTAGAAAAAGTAACGCTGATGAAATTAAACCACTCAATCAAATATTTATTTGCCCATTGGGACCGTTTCATCGTAAGAACCTTCTCCTTTACTAAAACCACTCAAAATTAATGAAATCTCCATGTAAATTGGAATTTATCTTTAGGTCGGTTTCTCACTTTGTTAACAAACTAAACCAGTAACTTAGGGCAAGTTTGGATGGAAATAGGACTATTTAGAACCAATTTAGTTAGAAAGCCGGACCCCTAGGTACACATTTGAAAATTCTCAACAGATTGAAAACTTTGCTCGACAATATACAGGTCTACGTGGAAGTTGGAACTTCTTGCTCGATGACTAAAACAATAGGAAACTTTACTCGTATTGCTCGAAAACTTTTAATGAGACCTTTTAGAGTGTCTGTTATTTACTAAAAGGTAAATATAAGTGTGAAAGTTTTTATCTTTTTTAATGTTTATTTTTATATCCCTTGGAAGATAATACGATTTTGGTTAACAAAGTTATAAATTTACTTATTATATATCTATACGAGGTGTGTTCAGAAAACATCGGGAATTTACGTTTTTTGAAACAAATATTTATTTATTCGTCTACATTAATGTTGTCGCCTTCAAAATAGTCCCCATTGGATACTATGCACATGTGCCAGCTCTTCTTCCATACTCGAAACACTTCTAACCTTAGCGGCTGCCACAGACAAAGTAAACAATGAAAACAGCTAAAGTTTTTATCATACTTCGGGGGCATGTATACTAACATAATAAATAAAATTTTATGACAACCGGACCCTCCGAAGCCGCGAAATTTAACAATTCCCGTTATTTTCTGAACACACCTCGTAAAAATCGATTATTTTTTTTCTTAATCCCGAGCACCTCTAGAAAGTGCTCACCAAATTTGAGCTCTTTATATTAATAGGAAGATCCTCATAATCACAGTTTTACATTTTTTTTAGTCCCTTATAAAAAAGAGAGGGACTATAAGGGACTAAAGAAAAATGTAAAACTTTGATGAGGAGGATCTTACTCTTAATTTTAAGAGCTTAAACTTTATTCGCATCCACATTTTTCTGTGAATTCAATATTTGGGATTATCAAAAGTTAGGTAATCGATTTAAATATAGTATACTCCCAAGTAGCATTATAGTGACGAAAACTGATATCGCAACTTTAAATTTTTCATTAAATAATACGTTTTCTCTTAATAAATCGAAATTAAACCTCTACTTGGAAAAACTTTCCAGAAATGCCGACAAATGAATTTTCATTTTCGAGTGACAAGTTATAAAGAATTAGACGAAATTTGTATAATGGAATATTTTTTGCCCCGGACGAAAAATGCTTTATGATCTTTAGAAAAATGTATTTAACCGCAACATCGGGTCTCTTATAAAAATGGAAAATATGAACCTCCAGTTCAATCAATTCATCTGCCTTTATGCGCCTATAAGAGAGTTATGCAAAAATAAAAAATGGCCGACAAATTACCGTTAACCTGGTCATAAATGTAATATATTTTTTAAATTTGACAATAATTATTGCATTTAAGAATGGTAATACAATTTTCTTTACTCCTATTACATAATATTATTTTTTTAATATACTTTTTTATTATACAGTGTGCCCACGGATGGTAATGACAATAGAAAAAAACTTTTTTATTAGGTATGATACGAAAAAAAACACGTTATTTAAAAACTCTTGCTTGTTTCAAAAATAAGATTCCTACTCAAATATTTTGAATTAAATATACAGGGTGCTCAGAAACTAAAAAAACCCAAAAAACTAGAAGTGCATTTGTGGAAAAATGAATTATTTTTGAAAATATTTGATGGTTAAAAATTAAGACTTTCATAAAAAGATTAATTATATATACAGGGTGCTCAGAAATTAAAAAAAATATATATCAAAATAAGAGAGAAATGTGGTAAGACACGGAAAGAAATGTTATGATAAAGTAAATCAAATCCATTTATTATATTAAGAAATGACAAAATTTATTTATTTTAGTTTAATCTAAAATAGAATAAATAAAAAAAAAACTGACAAATTTAAGTTTTTTATGTACCTACACTTCGCAAATGATTAATATCATCAAATTAAAATTAACATAAATCGAATACATTTTTTTCTAGGAACAGCAAAGTTAAGATTAAGTTAAGATAAGCTTAATTTTCAAAGAAAAGATAGATAGGATCAACCCTTGGATTTTATTATTATATTCCTATTTGGATTAATTTTATCAAATAATATTTAAATAAAAACTAAATGGATTTAACTTTATTTTTACTAGTATTAGTAAGTAGTATCAAAATTGGATAGAATTAGTTTTATATTTGATTAATGTACACATTTTATAGGTCTTCTTCTAAAATTCAGTAAATGTTTCTAATAATTTCATCTAGACAGGATTATTTTAATTTAAACATATTTCAAATATATTTGGAATAAAACAATAAAATAATTGCTTAATATCTATTTTTAACGCATTTTAGTTTGCAGTTTCTCTTCGAGACAGGTGGTGTAGTGAGTTGTGTAAGAACGATCGTGTCTATTCAATACAGCAGATTCCAAAACCATTTATTTTGACTTCGCTCTCATAGTTTTTGCGATATATGTATACCTACATATATCGCAAAAACCTATACCTAGGTAATAAATTTTATTAATTTTCACGTTTTTCGTTATTAAGAGTAATATAGGTATGTTCCTACCAAGCATTTTTACTGTCAAGTAGACGTCAGGGACATAGATAATATTAAAATCGTGATCACAATCCACACAAGAAGGTCTGTTCGATTTCGTTGGAATTCGAACGAAAACTGTTGTGCGCGCCACGTGGGATATCTCCAGCCACCATCTTTGATTAATTTGACGCCGTTAAATTAAATTTAAACAGTTGTTTTTTTAAGGTTTTAAACGCAAATATTTTAAAACTTTAAAAATTATAGGTACATTATATTAGTCAATTAAACATAAAAAACACTTCTTAAAGTAAACCATTATTGAGTTATTTTTTTGTATTTTGAACCTATAGATTATTATTTTATTGAGTTATTTTTTATGAAAGTTTGTAAGCTAAAATAAATGAAATTAAACACAAAATTTAGTATATATACTTTACCTACCCCACTATCACAGCTTATTAGGAAGATCAATATTCCAGTCAATAATCAAATATTGAATTGATTAAAATAATTCCATTTTTTGATAAATTCAATATATTTTTTACTAACTACCTATTTAGATAAATTTTGCACGAATCAATCAAATGATCTGATAAACTTTATCCTAATTATTCTTAATTTTGCCAAATTTTTTATAACTACTATTTTAAAATAGATTAAATTTACCTAAAAAGTGCTTAATTGAATCCAAGAATTGGTAAATTTAAGAAAATATTATATGGATTCTAGAAAATCGTAGGCGAATTTAATTTAATTTTCACTATAATTATTCTAAATTTTGTAGTGATTTATAAAACTTATTTGCTGCTATTTATCACGGTTTGATACATTTAAGCCTAGCAAATAATTCAATCGAATGAATTATTGATATTAGTTTAATTTTGGATTGGCGCTATTTTGATCAAAAATTTTATTGTAATACTACCTTACTGGATTAATTGTATTCAAAATTTCTTTCCGTGGATATTCGTAACAGAATCGCAAAAAATCATTCTTCATAAAAACTTCTGCTTGTATTTAAAAATGAGATTCCTAACAAACATTTTTAATTAAATTTTCAGGGTGCTCAGAAAATAAAAAAAAGTGCTTTAAGAGGGTAGTACAATAATTATTGTTCTATAGGAATCTCATTTTTAAAACAAGCAAGAGTATTTAACGCATAATAAAAATAATAAGTTTTCCTATTGTCAACCATCACGATATTGGCTAAAGGGTTGTTAAAAATAAATATGGTGAAATGTAAAATGTTGATATAATAATATATTTTTGATACTTTGAAGGTAATGGTTTTTCGGTTATTCATGATAAAAAATTATGCTTGCGCCATGTTGCAATCGCCAACATTGGCGATCGCCCTCTGGTACGAACTATAAACATTTATTTATTTAATAATATATAACAAAAAATACACAAATATTAAAAAAAATTATTTTATATAATTTGGCTAGACTTAGCCCCCTCAATACCAAATATTTTTTAAAAAATTTATAAAAGAAATAAATTTAGCACCCTTAAAAACATAAAAAACACACGTCTGGAGAAAAATATTTAAAGAATAATTTTTGCCGCGTAAATTTACCTCTCAGACCACTGTGTGCGTCTGGGAGTTTTATTTTAATAAAAATCACCTACCACTCGAAGCCTTTGCTACGCCCCTGCTTTCACAGGATTTATCTAAAACCTTTCATCAAGTACCTATATTCGCTAAGTGGGACTTTGGATTCGATATTTTATTTACCTGCCAATGGCCTTTTTTGAATTGCCACTAGACTCTCGTAGAGTTCCTTAACAGGATTGACGTCAGGCCCGAGCCCGTGGGCCCAAATCAACAACATCCTGAAGCCGTGCTCCTTGTAGCTGTTTGGACCTGAAAAAATAAATAAGATCGTCAGCTAACGAAAAGCGGTTTAAATCCGATTTAGGTAAGTGGAATACAAATAAACCAATTTTGTCGTTGACATAAAGGATTTTGAGATAAAGAAATAAATTGATTGGATTTTAGAAGTGCTTTCCAATAATATTTATTTTTAGGTTTCGAGGAGACAAACTAAATTTTATAAACTATTTTTTTCATTGATACGTTTTTTAAATTAGGAAGGAAAAAGTGTTACTTAAAAACGTTATTGATGGTTGTTCAACAATTGAATATGAATGCAATAACCACGCAATACACTTTTATAAAAATCAGACTTGTTAACATGAGTTTGTATAAAACTATCGTTTTTTAATAGTTTGTTAATTTAATTTGTAAAATTTTAAGATAATTTTTTGTAGAATACTAGGGTTGTAATTATTTTTAAAGGAAAATATTTTACCGAAAGTTGTAATTATTTTCAAAGTAAATATTTTACCGAAAGTCTTATAAAGGTATTTTTGTAGGTATTTTGTTAATTTCAAAGGTTACAGATTATTTTGTTAATGTTTAACAAATTATTTCGTGATTTAAGGCAGTCAATCAAAACATTTTCCACTGACAATACGTATAAACAAGTTCAACACACTGGACTGCATACATCTCTGATAGCACACTTTATTCCAAGAATGTTTTTTAAACCTTCCAGTGAGAATATTCTTAGGATCATGCTATAGTTCTTCTAAAGAACATGCTTAAAAGACATACCTATAGCATGATCCTAAGAATATTCTTACTGGCCTATAGGCAGGTTCTTAGAAGGTGCAAAGTTTTAGTGGTAACAAATTAGTCTACTCTAAACATATAATATATAATAGTAAAATATACCATACACTACGTATAAAGTACCTACCTAAATATTTAATAATTTGTATACCGATTTTTTATTTCTGAATTAACATTTTTATGTATAATAATCCTACGAAGGCGTAGAAGGGCCATCCAAAATTTAAATCTGTATTTTTTACAAATTTCTGAGTTATAACTCGGAATTTTAAAATTTCGAGTTAGAAGTCGAAATTTTACACCAAAATTTCGTGTTATATCTCGGAATTTTAAAATTCCGTGTTATATCTCGGAATTTTAAAATTCCGTGTTATATCTCGGAATTTTAAAATTCCGTGTTATATCTCGGAATTTTAAAATTCCGTTTTATATCTCGGAATTTTAAAATTCTGTGTTATATCTCGGAATTTTAAAATTTCGTGTTATATCTCGGAATTTTAAAATTTCGTGTTATATCCTGGAATCTTGTACGCAGTGTTGCCACTGTTAGTACTTTTGTATTAGATCTAGTACTAAAATTGATTTTTTAGTACGTTATTACGCTTTAGCAAAATCAATAGAGCTACTTTTTATAGTTGGATATATTCTCGCAACAAAATTGGTTTAAACCACAAATGTGTGGTTTAAACAGAATTAAAACCAAAATAATTTTTTAATCATTTTGATAACAATGGAAACAAATGACTGAATTCATGTCAGTGACATATTAGTAAAATTGCCCACAGATAGCAGCATCAAAAATGTGCAATTACACTGGGTGTTTTGCAACCTTCTTTATTTCTGTCACAGGCTTTTATGGGCTTTTTTATATCTCACAGCCAGCGTTGCAGACTGCTCTAGTTTTTTAGAAGTTCTCGAGCAGGACTGCCAACATAAATGCCTTTAGTTGTCTGTCAAATAGTTCATTTTTTAAGATACGTTTTTTAAAATATATTCAATTAAAAGGGCACCAATATTCGTAACAAAAAACTAAATATATGAATTATTGGTACTGCCATTTGTGGCCAATTTCACCAATATAGCATTTAGTACAATCTAGAACGAAATGACGGAACCACCTAGTATAAAATAAAAAGAACGAGTGGCAACACTGACTAGTGGTGAATGGCGAAGTCGTCTATTAGGCGACAATTCAAGAATTTTAAAATTCCGAGATATAACACGGAATTTTAAAATTCCGAGATATAACACGGAATTTTAAAATTCCGAGATATAACACGGAATTTTAAAATTCCGACATATAACAGGAAATTTTAAAATTCCGAAATATAACACGGAATTTTAAAATTCCGAGATATAACACGAAATTTTGGTGTAAAATTTCGACTTATAGCTCGAAATTTTAAAATTCCGAGTTATAACTCAGAAATTTGTAAAAAATACAGATTTAAATTTTGGATGGCCCTTCTACGCCTTCGTATAATCCTAACTATCTTCAACTTCAATCTAATCTGACTTATCCCACAAAATTTTCCAATTTTACTTTTTTGAAATAATAAATGTCATACAACTTATGGTTTAGAGGTCAAATTGGTTATTTAATATTTTTAAATAAATATATATTAATATGTGGCAAAATTTTTTAAGGGGACGACAAATACATTTCACTGTCATATTATGATATAAGAACATTCCAAAAACGTATTCTTAAAATGTTCTTAAGGTGTTTTAAGAAGCTTATATGCAATTCCAAACGTGTTTCAGACTTTTTCTACGTTTCCGAAAAACTTTTTCTACGTTTCCAAAAAATACCATAGAAAAATAATTTAATTGGAAGAAAGTGATGTTGGATCGGTCTAAAATTTGTTGGATATTAAAAACAGAGATGTCGCCACGAGTGTTTATTCTGTAATCAGATGATAGAATTTTTCATTCTGTAGCACTTTACGGAATAGAGTAATTGCATCAAAAATGAAAATCTCTAAAAACCTTTTTATTGTAATCTAGAGGTAAAAACACATTGCAAAAATATTTTTTTATATTCCAAAAGTTCAACCCGGCCCCAAAATATCAAATTGAAAAAAAGGTACTTTTCAAACGTTCCGAACTCCCGCCATATTGCATGACGTCATAAGCCACAGCTGTCAGAAATCAAGATGTCAACAAATAATAAACACCGATAAAGTTTATGTTTAACATGGAAAACGCGAAACCAAAAATTGGTTGTAAATATTGTTTTGTGCCTTGTTGTACAAATACAACCTGGAAAACTCCTGGGAAAGTTGTCCCTTCAATTATCAAAAGCAAAGTTTATGACCCTACACTGAGAGTAGTTACGGCTCAGCCGTATTTTCTTGAATTTATTAATATTTAACATACCTATTCAAACCATATACCTGTAAACGACATTTTATTTTACTTACATTAAAATGAGCAATAAAATGTTGACGATGTTTTGATATCGCGCCGAGCTATTTTAATCCACTTTATCCTTATTTTCCCTTTTGGCACGGTGATAAACCTTTTCCCAGGAGTTTTCCAGGTTGTATTTGTACAAGGCACAAAACAATATTTACAACCAATTTTTGGTTTCGCGTTTTCCATGTTAAACATAAACTTTATCGGTGTTTATTATTTGTTGACATCTTGATTTCTGACAGCTGTGGCTTATGACGTCATGCAATATGGCGGGAGTTCGGAAACGTTTGAAAAGTACCTTTTTTCAATTTGATATTTTGGGGCCGGGTTGAACTTTTGGAATATAAAAAAATACTTTCGCAATGTATTTTTACCTCTAGATTACAATAAAAAGGTTTTTAGGGATTTTCATTTTTGATGCAATTACTCTATTCCGTAAAGTGCTACAGAATGAAAAATTCTATCATCTGATTACATAATAAACACTCGTGGCGACATCTCTGTTTTTAATATCCAACAAATTTTAGACCGATCCAACATCACTTTCTTCCAATTAAATTATTTTTCTATGGTATTTTTTGGAAACGTAGAAAAAGTTTTTCGGAAACGTAGAAAAAGTCTGAAACACGATTGGAATTGCATATAAGCTTCTTAAAACACCTTAAGAACATTTTAAGAATACGTTTTTGGAATGTTCTTATATCATAATATGACAGTGAAATGTATTTGTCGTCCCCTTAAAAAATTTTGCCACATATTAATATATATTTATTTAAAAATATTAAATAACCACTTTGACCTCTAAACCATAAGTTGTATGACATTTATTATTTCAAAAAAGTAAAATTGGAAAATTTTGTGGGATAAGTCAGATTAGATTGAAGTTGAAGATAGTTAGGATTATACGAAGGCGTAGAAGGGCCATTCCATAGACAAAAGTGATATTAGAACGGTCAACTTCCGTAATAGGAGTAAAAAAATACTTTTACTATAGGTATCTAAATTATCCGGCTTTTACATAAAATCTTCTATCCAACTTAAATACAATGAAAAATGTTTTTTTTTGAAGAACTATTTGGTTTTTTCTTTTATGAAGAATTATTTTATAAGGAAATATTTTGTTTTTTTATATTTTATTTTATGTTAAAAATAAATATTTATTAATTTGTATACCGATTTTTTATTTCTAAATAAACATTTTTATGTATAATAATCCTAACTATCTTCAACAAAACTTTCCAATTTTACTTTTTATGAAATAATGTCATACAACTTATGGTTTAGAGGTCAAATTGTTTATTTAATATTTTTAAATAAATATATATTAATATGTCGCAAATTTTTTTAAGGGGACGACTAATACATTTCACTGTCATATTATGACAGTGAGGCGTATTTGTCGCCTCCTGAAGAATTTTACGAATGTAGCATCCAACATATTAGATCGTGGGTATCTGACATATTTGGAAATATTCTCAAAAGCTTCCTAGAAGCTCCATAAGAAACCTTCTAAGAACATTCCAAAAACTTATTCTTAAAATGTTCTTAGAATGCTTTTTAGGAAGGTTTTAAGAGGATTCTAAGAACCTAATTGCATCATTAAAAGGGTATCTATTGAATGTTTTAAAAGTCCCTAAGAACATTCTTAGCAATTAGGGAAGGTTCTAAGAATATTCCATTATTCCGGGTCAGGGATGGTTAACCATGAAAAACCATGGTATCCCAAAATTTAACAGCCAATTCTTATGTAAAATTGTCCCCTTGTCTGAAAATGCCGTCAAAAATTATGAAAGTGAAGCAGTTTTTGAGAT